GATATAAGTCCAGCCAAGGCTCAGAGAGCCATTCAACTGGCCCACAACTTGGAAGCATTAACAAATCAGTTTTATGCCATGGTACTTGGTCTGTGGCTACACAGCAGCAGAAGTGATACTCATCCAACCAGTCTCTCCACAATGCCCTGGGAGTGGACATGAAGAAAGAAGCCCCGACTTCTAACTGAAAACCAAATACAGTCTCTTAAACAGAATACATACTTCTGGTTAAATGTTTCTGTGACATGTTTAGCATTGCGGAGGTTCCTAATAGGATCTCTCATCAAAACAAAAGACTTATTTTTGGAGGATTGTTTTTCCTCACTTTTCATGACTTCCCTATTTATTTCACTCAGGTGTCTCTCAGTGTGACCAGCGACTTTAACATGAAATACTTCATTCTGAAGATTCTTACAGGAAATTGATAAAAATTCAGTTAACAACCTTCTCAGAAGAGTCATCATTGGAAGGAAGGAGAAGCTTACCACTCCTGTTTTATTCACTGTATCTCACATGGGTCTTAGCACAAATGTATACAAAAATATCTATCAGTGAATGAATGAACAAATGAATGAATGGATGAATGAATGAAGAGTGAATGAATGAATGAACGAATAAACGAACCACTGGACAAAATACAACTGCTAGTCTGTCTAGTCCTTTCTGGGATTCACAAGTGTCATCTCAGTTGTCCTGAGTCTTCCTACATCCTCACCGTGCACCCTTCCTTTACTTCAGCATTATTTGAAATCCCGGCTCTGTCTCTTACTCTAATGCAACACTGGGGAAATTGTTGAACTTTCATGTGTCCCGGCACTCTTACAAAGTGGCCACACAACCTTGTCTGCTTCAAGCAAGATGAACTAAATAGTGTGTGTAGAGTTCTTAGGCAGAGCCCATGACACAGAACAAGTGCTGGATAAACAATAGCCAACCCTTTGACTCTTCCCCATCTTCATCCAAAGACCATCCCAGCTCTTTACTTTCATGCTTCCTTTGTCCAGACTGTAACACACGGATGGAGCATGACACACTGCCCCAGTTTAAAGCTCAGTATTCTGCCTTGAATTTGTAGCTCCCAATGTCAAGGTACATAAGTCTGCTTCTAATGTTTTCTGTTCTCCTTGCACATTCCAAACCCGTGTCCATCTTTTGTATAATCACAAATGAATCTCATCTTCTTAAGACCTGTAGGCATGAAGCTCTCAGCCCAGAAGCTCATGGGCTCATTTGAAATTTCTGTTGAGCTGCACCTGCTCTTGCTAATTTGATCCATCTAATAAAGGGAGTGTAATCCATTTTCTCACATTAACCCTTCCATTTAATATCTGCATCCCTATCTCTTTCTCCTTTCTCCAGGATGATGATCCATCCCTTTCTTTACCAATTTCTGCCTCTCTTTTGACACCTTACACTCAACTACTCTGTTAGAAAAGTGTTTCCTTTAAGATGCTCTTTTCATCTTCCCAATTTCAGAAAAATTAAATATTTAAACATAACACCTGCATTTTCTCTCTTATTTAGCACATACACCAGCAGGACCTATGCCCTTTTATACCATACATGAAATGAATTGATTATTTTCTATTGGCATGAATTTCACACAGCTGTACAAATAGAATTGGGATGTCTTTCATGATTACAGAATCACCATTTGATAAGTCTTACCATGGACGGGGTGCTCAGTGAAGTCTTCCATTTATATTAACTCCTTGAATCTCCACAAGAACTCTAAAGATAAAGCATTTCCACCTTACAAATAAAAATTGCTAAGACCACTAATTTTTTGGCTTATGATTGCGATGCTCTAACTTACCTGTGTCAGTAACTTGGACATAAGCTAATAACCAAGCTCAAGTGATTGCTCCTTGATTGCTGATCTTAACATCAGCATTGCTGTATTGAAGGTCCCCAAAGGGTTAATCCCAAGTCCCTCTTCACTCTACTCATTGGGTAGATTTTCTACAGAACCTGGCTCTCCTTATGCAGTGCGTGTGGGCACCCTTTCCTTAGCAGTTCCTTTTTTCTTCATCTTTGACTCTGCTTACACGTCCCCTTCCTTCTTTCCTTGTGTATATGACTATATGCTCCTCCCATATGAAGAAACATGCAACCATCTTTTATGGTGCTGTGACTCTATCATCATTATCTCACTTTTCTTTTTTACATCTTGTTGAAAGAGAACTCTACATGTAAGTTTTCCACTCTCAAGTCCTTCTCTCACTTTTCAACCTGTTGCAGTTCCATTCTACAGTAAGCATTGATTGAAACTGTTCTTTCCAAAGACAACAAAAATCTCTAATTACAGGTCAGATGAAACCTGTTCAGTTCTTATCTAACATGACCACTCTGAACTTTAAAAAGCTCAATAGGCCTTTAAAATAAATGAACTCACCCTCTTCACCTGTCTCTTAGCCTGTGTTTTCAAATTTTCTCCCATGTTTAACTATTTTATCCCAATAAGTAAGCTCAGAAACTTCTGGAATCCACATCCTTATCCTCTGTTCACTTGTATAATGTCACTCCGCCTGCCTTATTCTGTCCACTATGGATAACACAACCATGGGAACATTTCATAAGAAATACCTACACCTAGATGTTAGTTCTGGGCCAATTAAATGGATCTCAGAAAGCAGGTTGAGCACCGGCAAATTTTAGGCTCTCTCAAATAACTTAAATTGAACCATCACTGAAGCTAGCTATTTCATATCCTCGTCAGGATTATCATCCAAGTCCAGACCTTCATAGCTCTCCCCTGGGTGACTTTAACCCTCTTTAATTTCTCTTTACACTTATAATCTCTCCTTAAATTAAAAAATGTTTTATTTATTTATTATTTTTATTTTATTTGATGTGCATGAGTATTTTGCCTGCGTGTATGTAAGTGCACCCATGTCGTGCAATGCTTGCCGAGGTCAGAAGAGTGTGTCAGATCCCCTAGAACTGGAGTTATAAACAGTTGCTAGCCATCATGTGGGTGCTGGTAATGGAACCCAGGTTCTCTGAGAGAGCAGCCAGTGCTCTTAACAACTGAGCTATCTCTCCAGTCCCTCTCAATTCTTTAAAAATTGTATTTTAGCAAAAACCTGTAAATCACAGCTTTAGACATGCACTGTCCTGTTCACACATTCCTGAATTAAATTTGAATGCTCTGTATATGAAACACTACCTTCTGGGAAAATGTGAGATGCATAGCACATCCATTTCATAAATTTCAATATCCTCATGTACAATAATAATAATAATAAACAGTAAACACTAATAAATCTGTTTTCCCACTTTCCCTACTGGTTATCATAGTGGCATGTACATGGACAGCATGCAGAAAATATGTGTTAAACTGATTTGAAAGACCCTTTTAAGAATAAATTTCCACTAATCCCAAAATTTAGTCTAGTCAAATATGCTTATGCTTAGTAGGAATTCAATAACTGTCAGTTAAATCCCAGACAACTGTAATTTCCACACTGGGTTTCAGATTCCCACAGAGTATAAGTCAAGACAATAATGAAAAAAATCCCTACAAGAAATCTACGAATATATCTGTATTGTTCCCTTAAAACACTCTACTGCAAAACAAAAGAATAAAGCAAGAAAGGAGGAATGAAAGTAGGGAAGGACAGAGGGAGAGCAGATAGAAGGAAGAGTAATGTTCTGGGGTGGGTTCTCTAGACAGGTAAGGGGAACATAGATATCCAGTATGTGCCTCCCCTGACTTCTCAGCTCTCTAATCAGAATGTGCAGTGCATTTTAATTCTTCTACTTAAGTAAATTAATCAAATGAGAAAGGCTGAAGGATGAAAAAATACTACCTGATTTCTTTGCACGTTTCTTTTTTGCATCATATATATTTAAGTATATGTATAAAAGTTTTATCAGTGTATATTCATTGTGCATGGAAACTGGGTTACATAAAGATATTAATTAATTAATTGAATTTCATTGTACAATAACATAGGATTTACTGAGGGAACTAAACATCAGGATCAAACTCCTTTTTCATTTCAGTCATAAGTACAGGTTCTTAAATCTCTTCCTACCCATTAAAATACCAAGGGGCTAGAGACGTGGTTCAGTTGTTAAAAGCACTGGCTGCTCCTGAAGAGGACCCAGGTTTGCTTCCCAGTATCCACATGGTATCAAAACTCATCTGTAACTCCAGATTTGAGGGACCCAACACCGTCTGCTGATCTATGTGAGCATTGCATGGCACAGGTGCACTAACATAAATGCAGGTGAAACACTCCTTCTACATAAAGTAAAAATAAATAAATAATTTTAAAAAAAATCAATACCAAATTTGAAATTGAGTGTGGTACTCTCTAATGTTAAAGTTAAATTTTTCCTTCTGTCAAGGCAACAAAAATTCATAAAAATAAAGTAAAATAAAACTATAGGATATTATTTTAAAACTAGGGAACCTCAAAAGAATGATCACAAATCAGCCACTTGTTGGCCTAAACACTCATACTCTCATCTAATCTATTTCCCAATAGCTAACCATGGTAGGGTACTAATTCCATTAAAGAGACTAACAGCACATGCACCCGGTCCATGTGAAAACTTATAAAACTCGGAGTGAGTTCTGCTTTGAGGCTGTTGTACTGCACCAAGGTCAGTTATCTTGTTTGACAACATATTCAGGTTTTGAAAGGTGCTGTCACTGGGAAGTCTAGAAGAGGGAGAATACAAATCCTCAGAGCCATATTCTGTAGCTTCTTGTGACATTTAAACTATTTCAATATAAAAGGATTTTTGAAAATTTTAAGACATGATATGGATGCAGATTTCCACTCAAATATGCTTCCAAAGCTAAATTCTGCTTACCAAGAGTATTCATAAAGAGGTGAAATCTGTGTTTGTGCTCACAGCTGGTATGTGGGCAAGTGTCAATGTACCTATCACATTGCTTCCTAGCAAAGAAGCAAATCAAATACTGGAACCTTCTATAAATGGCAATATTTACCATAGATCTTTACTAAAACAGGATTGAAGAATTTTTCAGTTTTCTTTTGAATTCAGGATTTTACTGGTTATTAACTGAAGTGCTTTTAAAATAAAATGCAAACAAACAGATTCTCCAAACTGTGCTTGTGCAAGAAAGTCCATTTTATATCCAAATTTTATTCACTTTTTCTGAATAGCCACAACATTAATCTACTGGGAATAATCTAGTTCATATATTTGAAATTCCATTAATTTTTCTATTGATATGCATGTATTACACTTTTATATAATACAGAATTTTCAATGTTGCTTTAAGTGACATAGTTTTAAAAATGATAAACATCAAACAAATTAGAATAAATTCATAATTTTCAAAATAATAGTTTTCCACTTTGTGCTGAAGAAAACATTATTTTAATTGATGCAGAAAGTCTAGTATAACTGCTCTTCCTTTCTTTCTGACTTGTGTAGTCTTGAGCTATCACAAAACCCACTCAGAATAACTCAATTGGTTTTACGCACAATTAAAATGGAGGCAGGATGTCACGCCTTTGCATCTGTTCATGAAATATTGATTTTAGCTCAGTATTAGAAGTATAATTTCAAATTTTATTTTTAATAGATTTTTATACTTTTATCTCTTCCTGGTAAAGAGTCTGGTTAATGTATAAGTCTTCGATCATCATTACAGATTAACAGATGAAAATTCTTTAGGGCATGTGAGTCTCCATCCTGGAAACCAATGATTGGCTACTTAGCAATGTCAGCAAGTTTTTACCAACATGATGGAACCTTTAGTAAATCTACTTCTGCAGCATCTTCTGGTTAGTCTGAAATAAGTAAGACCCAGAAATCCTGCCTTTCGATTTCTTCAGACTACAGGGTTGCACAGCATCATTATGGAGTGTCAACTCAGTGCCCATTCTTTCCTCCCTCCATATCACAAGTGAAACAAAATTAATGTAGTATAAAATTATAATTCTGTAATAACTTAGAAAAAGTAAATAAATGTTTAAGGCCTTTAAATATTTATAAGATGTTCCCATAGAACTGAAAAAAATCATAAATGTTAAAATAACTATAAAAATGTGGACAAAATACTGGCCTAAAAAATTATTTGAGTGGAACAGTTGTAGGCAAATATTTATACCTTTGAGGTCAAGGAAAAATGAACAGTTTTTTTCTATCAACAGACTGAACAAACAAATATATAAGCATTCAAACAGTCATCAGGATCAAGCAAGAGACAATCTTAAAATGAGACAGAAAGGATAATTTTAAAAAAATACTAGAAGTAATCTAAGTGAACAATGTTCAAGATAAGAAATCAGAAACTCACATGCATCCCTGGTAATTTTTTTTTTAAGTTGAAGGCTACCTACTAATTTGACTGCACATTGCTGATTTCTGTGAAGGAAACAAAAGAGAAACAGAAAAAAGAAAATCCATTTAAAAAACTGAAAGGGAAGGTATGCTAGAGGTACAAAGTACTATATAATGAAAATGGTAATTGAGTTCTAGCTGCGGCCTGTTAAACTGACACAGAGCTGGAGTTGTATGTTAGCCTTGGGGAAACATGTCAGCTTGTCTATACATTCTTATATGATTGATGTATTCAGGTTACTATTACTTGCCAATGATAATCCTTATCAATGGATATATACTTCCATTCCTTTCACAAAAGCAACTGTAAGATGTTAAAACATGTAGGCTTTCGGAGTTTCAAGATTAGGATGCCAATACAATTGTCTCGGTCTACGCCATGCCAGAGGAGTCTGCAAAGGAAATGTCATCAAAGCTGTGCACCGTCTTACTAGACAATGAACAAAGGACCCAGGAACACATCCGTGACAGGACAGTGCACTTGGGAAACAGCTTCGGAAACAAGAAAAGCAGTCACAGCTGCAGCCAGGAGCTCCACAGGTGACAGTCTCTGGTGTCACCCTGGGAACATCAATTCTGCACCATCTCTATGGAGAGCAACATCAGCTTCCCCCAGAAATGTCACAAGCCAAGGACAGTTCACATCTTGTGAAGTCTTTAGGACATGGAAGTTCACATCAGACTTTTCAAAAGTCTTGGTTTCAACAAGAAGCTGATGATGAGCCATGGAATTCCTTGGAAACATACTCTGTAGCGTCTTTTCTGAGAGGTATAAAAATCTTCAAGATCACCTCAGAAGTCAAGTTTCTATATATGTGTTCAATGTACCCAGCCTTGAGGATCACTTAATTTATACTTGGTTAATGAGTTACCTGGAATGGAAAGAGAAAATACAATCAATACCTCATAATAGAGCTATAGTCTTAGAACTAACAAACAGCAAATACCTGATAGGCACTTCTGATATACCTCATGCAAATACTTTGCTGAGTTCTACAGGACTATTGTGTTCACCGCCCCCCCCTTATAAAAATACGTGAATTTTTTTTCCTTCTTCTCATTTCACAATATTTTAGTTGCACTTTTACCATTATTTCAAATGACTCTATCACCAAGAGGAACACCACTGCTAATAGTTCCCTCAGCCATTTTGCTTCTGGGGTCCCACTCATCTGTGAAGACTTGGTAGATACAACCAAGATCAGAACATAGATCATAAACTTCTCATGCCAGGCCTCTGTGAAGAAACACCCTGGCTCACTGGCATATAATCAGAAAATACTCTCCATATAATCCATATTTTAGATTCTGGTTCTACAAAATTCAATTCTTGATATAGCATAAAAATTGAGGGCCATAAAAATCAATTATATGCTCATTAAAATCATATCTTTATGTGGACAAAAAGTATTTGAGAAAACAAAGAATAAAGAGCTATACAGTGATTCATCAAATTTCATGGTGTCCAGAAATCCTAGTAAAATTGAACCAATATCATTAATGCTATTTGAAGTATTAGGAAGATTCACAGTAAATTTCCATACTTATTAAAGCCCAAAGAACACTTAGGCATTGAAAAAAAGAACAACAAAAGACAGGAAAAAATAGAATGCCTGGTAAATACAGTATCCACATTTACATAAATAGGTATAGAAAAAGACAAAATTTCTGCTGTGTTGATGTATTTCTAACTTTATGCTTATATCAAGTATGGTATTTTGAAATAATAACCTACAAATGTTCTCTAGAAATGGTCATAATAAAACATGAATAAAAATTAATGTGAACACTTGATTTTATTTCATTAAGTAACACAGCCACTTAGCCTTAGGTAAAATATTTTTGAAGGCTGTAAGGATAGCAGTCTCATCATCAATTTGTCTGCCATTCAGTGGTCACTGAATGCAGATTCTGTGAAGGCCTCGAAAAATGTCAATGTAGAAAGAAGAGGAAAACAAACACTGTTTCTACTGGCACTGTGTCATAATTACTGATGGAAACAGTTGATCATTATAGGAAATACAGAAAAAAGGATTTTATAATAAAATTTATTCAGAAACTCTACTTAATACAATCTTTGGTGACCATAAGGCTGAGAAGGTTCACTTGCATTTTCTGAATATTTTCTTCTCAGCAGAAAAATTGATGAATTGTAACATAGGGACCATATTTGTAAAACTAGTGCTGATATAATGGGAAAAGCAGAGGTAGGTTGGGAGAGATTGAGAGAGAGTGAATGGTTTAGTCACAGAAGGGATTCAGTGAAGCAGCAAAATAGCCCTGCTGGACAGTGTGAGGCCTCAGCCCCGTAAAGCCCCAGCTTGAGTCTCCATTGGTGATTATGATGAATGTATCTCTATATCTTCATTCCAAAGTAAGCATTTGATCCCGTTGGTTTACATAATGCTGAGGCAAGATTCTGTCAACCATTTATACATTAATTAAAACTTTGTTTTCATGTAATTTTGAAAGCAGGCAAATTTTAAGAACAATATCAAAGACCTCATTAACTTCAGCTAACTTAGCCATTTTTTTCTCCATTTCTGAAGCGTGTGCATATGTATATCGTACACACCAACACATATGCACATCCACACAGAGAAAATGAACACATACACACTGAGACGAGGATATCATAACTGTACATTTTTATAATTCTGTGTTTCTCTTGGATAAAATAATCCTAGAAAAACAAAATTTAAACATGGCAATATCTAGAGTAGGTAGTGCAGGTCTTTAAACCCAGAATTTGGGAGGAAAAGGCAGGCCTTAATCTCACAGGCCTAGTCTACAGAGTCAGCTCCGCGTCACTTGGAGCTACAGAAAGATCTTGTCTCCAAAAAAATCCGATAATAATAATGATAATAATAATAAAAAAAAATAAGAAACAAAGAGCCATGGCCATAAGAAATAGTTGTGTAAATGAGAAAAGATGGATCTAATCAGCATGGACTGAAATGTAATTAAAGCAACTTTTTCTCACACTCAAGTTTGATATAATATTCCTATCTTAATCTTTTCATGAGATAGATTAAAAAGTCATTCACAATATTAGATAAAAGCAAGCAGTCTGTTTTAAACCTGATGCTTCTAATCATTTTATTTTGACCAAAGGACACACTCTTTCAATATGCAAAGCTCTAGATTTGAGCCAGTGTGGCCCCACACTGCATGTTACATGCAGACTCTGTCCCCTCAATTTTTTCACATATAAAATGCAGATGATCGTGTTAACTTCTGCTGTGAGGACTACATCTAATGTTCACAAAAATATCTAGTTTTGTCAACAAACAAGACTATGAAATAACAGTTTGGGATATGAAGTTTCTTCTAATGCATAAATCTGAAAAGAAGCCATTAAAAGCAGAATGGAAGAAGCACACTGATGGAAATTCAATAAATTTCCAAGACCACAAAAACTAACTAATGATATGCCCCTTTTCTACACAGAATAAAATTGTGCACACGCTGAGCATGTACCAGCATGCTCTCTGAAAACCTCGAGCTTTCTTCCAAATGTAATGTCAAATCTTCCAAGACATGTGAAATATTTTTCTAGTATGTTAAAATATATTTCAATATTTTATTATTTTAAGTATAGGACAGGATTCTGAATACAGACATACCATCTCCAATTTAAATCACCTTATAAACAAGATTCAAATTGTACTTGAAATGAAATTAGTAATTAAAATTAAACAAAATATCCAACCCTTAATAACTCCTATGCTCACTAAAGAGGTCCAAATGAAAAGCCATAAATTTTGGCATAATAGTGGGGGGAAATAGATACAGTCTCACCTGTGGTAGACTATAAATTGCAGTGTCCTAGTATATAAGAATTGCTTAAGTAATATTTATAATATTTATACAATCCATCCTTTTTAAGACATAAATGTTACATTAATACCAGATAATGTCATATTTTTAAGACATTAAATACCACTCTGCATTCAAGTTATACAGTTAGAAAATGCCAAAAAGTAAAAGCTCTGCTTTCTTAGGATGTTCTTCAGCAAGTTTTCAGTAACTAAACCAGGAGGTTGCAATAAAATCAGCAATAGCAGTTGCCCCCATAAACACACATATCCATTATGAGGGAGAGAAATTGTCCCACTGTTGCTATAGCTGTACCTTGAACTTCACATGCTATGCTCACCGACCAGCTCAGCGAATTTGCCTTTGCAAGCGTCCTGTTTTGTGCAGGAATTCTTCCTTATGTAAATTGTATCTGTTATATACCAGCCAGTTTGTTACATGCAACTGTTGGACTGCTGAAACCTTGTGAAATGCAGAAATAGTAATGATAAAAATAATAACATCTCCAGCTCCAAACACAAAGCTAGGCTCCGAATGCCTGGCTGGGATGAAGAAGCTAATGTGCTAACATTAACAGAAGCGTTAATTCCTTAAAACTGAAACATCCACTTAGGCCTGTCCACAAATCTAGTCCAGATCATTGCTTCAATTTCTCAGATATTCATGTCAAATCTATTCACCAATTTAAACCAAGAAAATAAAACCAAGTAAACAACAGAGAAGATACTAGTTAAATTTGAAATAAGTGAAGTTAATTCTTTTATTCCATCTGCATTTTATATTTTGAGCCATATGAAATGTCCTTCAATTATCTTCAGACTAAAAATAATCTAGAATATTGGAAGGAAATTCAAGAATCTATTCTTTCCCCAAGTATAAAGGCAATTTTGAAAAATATCTTAAAATGATTATATTCATACAAAGTCTAGAGCTCTTCCTCCCCAAGTTCCGCACACTAGGTAACAAGTGGGAGATGACATACTATGGTGAGAGGCACACTGGGAAGGATCATGAGCTCCACGGGCTGACTCCCTGGGTTCACATATATGCCCTCTGCCTTTCTAACACTATGAGACTATGAAGATAATATTACTTTGCCCCACACATTTGTTATTATGATTGAATCAAATCATAGAGCCATCCATTGCAAAGGGCCATGCCAGTAAATTAAAAATTAGCAGTTGATAATAGTGATAATTCCCAAACAAGACGCAAAAAGTCACACATAGAAGATCTAACAGGCAACGTTATTACTTGTTGTTTACCTACAAATATTGACTAAATTAATTTTCAGCTTTTATAGTAACTCATCTTGTGATTCTTTTTACAATATTATTAGTAATACAAATCATATATCAAGAATGTCACACTGCTTTTGCTAGCTTTAGGTACAATAATGTCTTTTCAGATAATTTGATACAATGTGATGCTCAAAAGATTGCTCATAGCATCAGGCTGCCAGGGATCAAAGATCAGTTCTGCTGATGACTGAATGTGTGCTCAAAGTATAGTGGGGACCTCTGGCATGTGTATCAGAGAGCCATAAACTTAAACATATAGACCAGTGCTAAGGACAGTGACCAGCACTTGATAGTACTTAACTTGGTAACTGTTATTCAGACACACACGCACACACACACACACACACACACACACACACACAGTTTAAAGTTACCCATAGTCCAGTGGGCAGCCATACATCCATGTACACTAAATGGACTGGGTGGATTATAAAGCAAAAAATTTAAGACATCTTCATGCACATACTGAATTATCTGTTTTGTCCCTATTTCTGAGCAGATATCACATGTCTTCTCAGATTCATGGCTTCCGTCTTCTGGAACTCTTTATTTGCATTTTTTATGGGTCAGCTGCCATGAGGTTTGGCATACAAGACATACATTTATGAAATCAGTGCTGCACTTTTCTCCCAGGCATAAAAATTATGACATGAATCCACGCAAACTTAAACCAGACACAAACCCAGGATGGAAGTGAGGCAATGGGTAAGAAGCCCCACGCTTAGCTGAGGGACTACTGGCAACTGATCACT